GGGTTGTTGAAGCAACATCGTCCTGTCCATGTGTATTCTAGCTGTGACTGCGGCCCCTTTTGTCCCCATCAATGACTTAACCAAAGGGATGATAGTCAGGTTCGTGCCCTTCAGGCCAAGAGAAAGCGAGCTCTTCTCCAGTATCAAGGGGCTCAGGAGGTAAGGCATTTAGCAGCCAAACTCGGATCCCAGATTCACTGGGAATGGTCCGAAACGAGCGAGGCCTGGAAACTTGAACAATCCGAGAAGTTTCTTGAAAAGCACAGCCTTCGAAAAGTCACATGTCATGGTTGCTGTGTAGGGCTCCGTACTCGTGACAACAAACAGCTTCTCTGCAGGTGGACCATTGCTACTAAGAACACGGCTATTCTCAGACATATGCACCTTGTTTGTCAAAAGAATCATGCATGCACATGGCCAGCGTCTAGCGAGAAGTGCGATCCACAGTTCTAAGTACACTCCCGCGTTTGCAAAGAAGGTGGTCGACTGTTTGAGTGAACTTGAGGTTTGGTCCACGGTTGCGCAGGAGGCTCAGGGTGACATGGTGGATGAGGCACGGGGGAAGGGTTAAGGGATTTTCCGGGTTGTGTGGGACATGGAAAACTGCGGCCCCCATAATGATAATGATAACCCCGAAGAGGCCCTTATGAATGATAACGACCCTGAAGATATTGAAGTCCCCCAGCAAGAGGAGTCACCGGAAGAAAGGGAACAATGTAGGAGGAGACGGCATGGTAGCATGGACAGTTTGATTGCTGCTTTGAAAGCTCGCGGTGTGTCCGAAAAGATACGTGAGATTGCAAGATCATTTCGATGCCCCACATGTCAACAATGGAAAAGGGCGGCGCCTTGCCGCCGTTCAACACCTGGGTGCTTCCAGGCAGAGCGCGTGAGGCAGGATCATGGCAGCAACTCAAAGAAGTGCATGAGCAGTTGTGGCTGCCCATTCATGGAGCGCCTGCAACGGTTAGAGGTGATCCAGCAGGAACGTGGCTAAGTGAAGCAGCAGATCAGTACTTCGCAGGGCGCGGGGTGTATCTAGATCCAATCCCCGCCGAGGCCCACTATCAGATCGGTGTGGTGGAAAGAGCCATATGAAGCGCCAAGAAGATGATGGAAGCCATTGCCACTGAGTTTTCAGACATGACGCATGATGAGATGCTAGGCAGGGCTATGCAGGTAGAACTCCGGATGAAGACATGAAGGTGTTTGACAATGAAGAGGAAAAGCCTATCAATAACCACTTGTTTGAAGACGGTGGCTTTGGACAGAACATCAAGGCAATGCGCGTAGCAGAGAAAGCATTCATCGAAGAGCAAACCAATCAAAGGATTCAACGAGCTGAGGCGATGGGCCGTAGAAAGACTCAACATTTTCTTCCTGGTGATCTGGTTTTCTACTGGAGAACACAACAGGCCGGAAAAAGCCATCAGAAATCTCCAAAAGGAAAGTTCCTGGGGCCAGCAAGGGTTCACGCGACAAAATCCCGGCGGGAATCAACAGGAAAAATCAGACCAGGAGCTGTTGCGTGGCTCGGTTGCGCAAGTCGCCTACTTAGAGCCGCACCTGAGCAGCTTCGAGGAACTCGTGGAGCTCGTGGAGAGCGTCAAGGGGCCAGTGGAGCTTCCTTGGACCGTCACCAGCCTGGCGACAGACCCAAGAGGCGGACATACTTTGACATCAGCAACGACATTCCTCCAGAACAAGCTTGGCAAGACGGAACGGAAGACCTCCAACTCAAAGATGAGGAGGAAGAACTTCCACATATCACAAGGGGTACCCAGCCAAGAAAAGAGCCTCGACGACCAGAACCTCGAGGCTTCAAGCGGCCCAGCCACGAACCAGCCGGAGAATGACAAGACAGACAGAGCCTCCCTGGTCGAGGAAGCCATGAATGCCGTTGAACTCCAGATTGAAATGCCCGACTCCAAACAAGGACTCAAGAAGTTCATCGAGAAGCCGGTCGCATACTTCTGCCAAGCGAAAACAGGTAGAAGCACAAGAGCGACTACTTGCCCCAGAAGAACGACGTCAGTTCGACAAGGCCAAGCAAGCCGAGATGAAAAACTATTCCGCGGCAGAGTGCGTCAAGGCATGGACCATGGATGGGACGTGAACTCCGTGAAAAAGAAATCATGGACATGAGGTAGCTTCTCTCAATGACAAATACCCAGATGGAAAGAAGTTTCCAAGATCCCAATATTCCACGTGAGAAACCTCAGCGCCTACTCCAACGAAGGCTGGGGCACAATTGTTTCTTCAAATATTGCGCCAGGCAAAAGTTCCTTATTGAGAAGGGTGACATCAGCGGTGCATTCCTCCAGGGAGACGATTTGGAGGAAGAAATGTGGCATCGTCCGTCGCGCGAAATCTGCAAAGAGCTCGGGGTCAGTGAAGGAACTCCGATGTTGATTCGAAAGGCAGCCTATGGGTTGGTGCAAGCGCCACTCCATTGGCACAAGAGTGTCTGTGCATTCTTGAAACAGATAGGTTACCGCCGCCTGAAGACCGAGCCACGTTGTTGGGTATTCAAGGACAAGACAGGTGTGAAGTCGATCACCCATGGCCATGTAGATGACTTCCTTTTCCAGGAAGCCCAACATGTCCCATCCACAAATCTCTCATATAAAAGATCTGGGCAAGATTTGCCTGGGAAACATGGGAACAAAAGGACTGCATACAGCCCGGTGCGCGCATCCGACAAACATCAGGACTACTCCGTTGAGTTGGACCAGCAGAAGACCGTGGAAGAGCTTGAGGAGATCCACGTGTCCTGAGACAAGTAACGGCCAAACGAGTGCTTCAACAATGGATGGGGAGAAGAGAGCCCTGCGAGCCTTACTTGGTAGCCTTTCATGGATATGCGGTCAAACGCATTTCCTCTTACTCCGTTGACATGAACTTTTTGATCACGACAATCCCGGTGAGCACAGTGGCAGAACCAAACAATAAAGCCAATCAGGTGGTCCGCGCCATGAAGAAGTGGGGTGACCTTCGGTTCAAGATCCATGCTTTTCCCAAATCAGAGGACTTAGAATGACTTATTCGTCCGACGCCGCGTGGGCTAACAAGCCTAATGATGTGGACAGCATGGAAGGAATTTTGGCGAGGATGTCCACTCCTCGACTCCCTGAAGCCATGGAAGGGAATGTTGCCCCTGTATTCTGGAGGTCCGCAAAGATCGATAGGGTATGTCGGTCGCCGGCAGCAGCAGAGACCATTGCAGCTTTTAATGGAGAAGATGATTTGTTTTCCCTTCGCATTTTATGGTGCGAGATCTTCAAGCTCAATATTTGTAATCTCAACGAAGGCGCTAAATGCACCAAGGATCACCTCATTTCTGATGCTAAGTGTGTGCAGTTGAGCTCCCAGCCACGTACATGGCCCCTGAGCAAGTGATGACACGCACAAATCATAGAAGTGATACCAAGAGTTTCTTTCGATTGTAATTTTGGCTCAAGGAAAAAGAAGTGCTACCGCTTACGCCTGCTGTGATGTAGTGCAATGGTAGCCTAAACTCAGGTTATGTACGCCCAAACTGCCTGTGATACTCCGTCGTTAGAAGCTGGAAATTTACAGCGGTCTCGATCGAGGACGTGCCAGAAGGGTCAAGATCCTGAAGCGGACACAGAGCTTCAAGCTGAAGCGGTGAGGCCAGAAGAGCTTTCACGGACGGCGCGATCAGCTGACCTGCCTGGGCAGCGTTCCTCTTCGACAATGGTCAAGGCTAGAGTGATTTCGGTTTCTTCTTCAAGGTCCAGTGCATCGACCAAGGTGAAGGCAAGAGTTATTTCGGTCCGACCGATTTCTGCCAAGGAGTCTCAGCCAGTGTTATGTCCTTCTTCGTCTTCTGGAGGTAGAGACACTTTGACTTCTGGGTCGTGTGGAGCTGACAAGGATAGTACTACAGTAAGAGTCTGTCCATCAGAGGCAGAAATCTCTGTGTTGAAGGTACATTTGGAAGGCTCGGGAGCGCGATCTCAGGGCAGTCCGTCGAAAGTTCATGAAGGACAACTGGAAGAGATGCCGAAGCGATCCATTGAACAGTCGGAATATGTGGGAC